TATATATTACGTAATGTAATATATACGTCTCTGGATTGATGTATAAGAAGCGTAACGTAATTCCTTTTATTAATCTATTTAATTTTTACATTACTTAATGACAACCTACTCGTCTACCCTTCATAAGATTGGTCAGGGAACTATATATGGAAAAAATATCTAGCTTGTCCAAAACAGACTATCTGTGAGTTAATCAAGTAATTGAAAGGACTTCGAATCATATACAATCCATATACTTTTTGAATTTCGTAGTATTTGAGTATCTAATTTAACTGAAGGTTCTTCTCCAGCATTGTTATATAATTGATACTGTTATGTTTAACAAAATTGAATAACTAACATTTATGAAAAGTAATTTCAAATTTTCTAAATATTTCCTGCTAAATTTATATATATGATCTTAATAACACCATTTTATGACATGAATAGAATTAATATAGTATCATGTAATTGCAATTCTTTTATCAAATATATCTTATACCCGATAATGATACTTAAATGTATCTAATTAAATATATATATTCATCAATGTATATATAATAATTAATAGTTTTTTGCTCGATCCTGCCCGTTCCTGTAAATCGTCGAACCCCTAGTCACAGCATTTCGGTGATGTTTTCTGCACCAAATCGCATATGTCCAGATAGGATGTGACATATAGAAGTAAATAACTTCAAGAAATGCGATATTTCACAGTAATAAAGAAGTATTGGGTTCATAACTGGATCGTATGGGGTAGTATTGGGTGGTATGGGGTAGTATTGGGTCATAGTCACGGCAATTCGGTGATGTTTTCGGCACCAAATCGCATATTTCCCGATAAAATATGGCAGATGGAAGTAAATAACGTCAACAAAGGTGATATTTCACAGTAATAAAGAAGTATTTGGTTCATAACTGGGTCGTATGGGGTAGTATTGGGTAGTATTGGGGGGTATTGGGTAGTATTGGGTAGTATTGGGTAATTAGACGCGCCGATCAGATAGCCACCTATGCATGCATTACATATATTCAAATACATACCTGTGCACTTTGTGGGTCTGTATAACACCTGAAGTTTCACTCTGCCATCATCGGATCAGGTGATATACCTGTACCATGGACTTTACTTAGTGCCTTATTATGGAAACAGTTTTACATTGATTTAACCTATATACATTTAAATTCACTAGTCTTAAATTATGCCTAAACATCTTTTAATGAGACAGGTCACAATTTAGTTGCATTATTTTAACATTCATTAAAATTATTCTCACATAATTATTTCATATTATATGGGGCAATTGGCAATAATATTTGTTTGAAAATAATTATTACATTCAGATATATACATATATATATATATATACAGTGCTGTAAAAAAAACTTATAAACTTAAATGATCACTCAGATCAAAGAATTTGTTTACCAATATTTATACAATAGGATAAATGATGGATGCAGGCATATATATATATATATATCCTGGCCATATCTTAATATATTTTTTAACGTATTTAGAAAATATCATTCATTAATTGTCATTTCCTGATATTTCTTTCTGGCCGGCCAAATGATTGTATTCAGTTCAAAAATTTTCCAATGAGTATCAAGATTAATTCCTTTAAATTGTTGGCGATGTAATTACATATTCATGGAGACTGTTCCAGATTCCGACAACCCTAAAGCTAAATGAATATTTCCGAATATCAGACTTGCAATGCTTTTTCCTGATTTTCTGTGCATGTCCTCTTGTTCTAGATGATGTATCTAACTCGAAGATTCCTTTTGTTACCTTCTGGTCATGTTGGTTGTTCATTATTTTAACACCATTTATGATGTCATCGCTCGATCTCCGGTATGCCAGGGTTGAAATACCTATCCTTTTCAAGCGCTTTCGATATGTTAACTCTTCCAAAACTGGTAATTGTTTCGTGGCTCTTCTTTGTACCTTTTCTATGCATTCAATGTCCTTTATTTTATATGGACTCCATACACTGGCTGCATATATTCTAGATGAGGTATTACTTATGTCTTGAAAAGTTGTTCGAAAGAAATCCGATCCAAATATATACAATGATCTCCAAACGAGTCTCAATATGCTGTTTGTTTTATTTACTGCTTCCTGTAAATGAGCCGAGAAATTAATTTTCCTGTCTACCAACACCTCTATATCCTTTTCTTGTGAGATGTTTTCTAGATTTATCCTTCCTTCCCGAGATCCCTTCATGTAGTACTGCCTTCTGCCTTTCCCGTTTATTGCAAGTACTTCACATTTTTGTGGGTGGAATTTTAACAGCTACTTATCGGACCATATTTGTAATTTGTTCAAATCTTCCTGAAGTGATTTGTAATCTTCGTTACCTTTCATATCTCTATAAATATTTTGTATCATCTGCAAATAAAAATGTTTTAGATTTTGTATTGTCTGGCAAGTCATTGATGTAAATGACAAATAATATCGGCCCTATAGCTATAGTAATTAAGCTTCCCTGGGGGATTCCGCTGACTACTGGATATTGTTTTCAGGCCGTTCCATTAACTATTACACGCTGCTTTCTATTACTCAGAAAGTCTTCAATCCATGTTACAACCGGATAACTTAAACCATAGCTTCGAAGTTTTCCTGTTAACCTTTTGTGTGGGACCTTGTCGAAGGCTTTCATGGAATCCATGTACACTACGTCTCTCTCTCCGCCCTTGTCCAATACTTCAGTCCAATCTTCTAGAACCATGAAAAGCTGCAGCACAGTTAAACATTTTGAGATGAATCCAAATTGTTTATTACTGAACAGGTTGTTTTTCCCCATATGTGTAAGAATGGTATCGCATATTACCCTTTCCATTGTTTTACCTACGATACTTGTAAGGCTCACTGGTTGGTAGTTTCCTGCTTCTGTTTTTGATCCCTTTTTGTGCCGCCTGCGAAAAGCTGGTGACACATAGGTATTGCTATGTTGGCGTCGGCGCCGACGGTCGTGCGATAACTTGAGTTTCCTTGGGCCGATCAAACTCAAACTTCATGCAGTGCTAAGCAAAATCTCCCAGCTTCCTGCGCAGGCGACTCATCCACTTCCATGGAATTCTTGTTAAATATTGCTGAAATATCGGTGTTTTCATTATTCATTATATGAAAGTATTGTTATTGCCATTTCTTACAGTTGAAGTACCTGTCTGGATTTGCTAATGAGTTTGCCTCGGAGGATCCAAGGTGTCCTGGTGCTTTACCAGAAGGACAGGTAAGTTTTCTTTTTGTATACATGAAATAATTACCAAAATCTCAAAAATAAGGGTCAAAATGTTATTTTCAGGGTGAAAGGCTTTAAAAAAAGTAGGTATTTTTCCTCCAGATTATTTCTTGGGATTTGAATGAAATATATATATACACGGTATATTAACTTATTTATAAAACGTATCAGAAAGCATACTGAGACAGCTTAAATGACAGTGCACGTTTCAGGATTCTACCTTCAAGAATAAACTTGCTTACAGTAAGATGTCATCATTCATTTATTAGCTCACCTGGCACGAAGTGCCTAGTGAGCTTATGCCGTGGTGTGGCGTCCGTCTGTCCAGCATCAATATTTTACTTTAAAAGACTTCTTAAAAACCGAAAGGCCTATTGTGATGATATTTGGCCAACAGCAAACTGGGATAAGGGGTACCAAGTTTATTCAAATAAATGACCTTCACCCATTTTCAAGGTCATGGGGGTCAATTGTCTTAAAAAATCTTTAAACAACTTCTTCTGAATAACTTAGAGGCCCATGATAATGTTATTTGGCCACTAACATGCTGGGATAAAGGGCTACTAATTTTTGTTAAAATGAATGACCTTTTCTTATATTCAAAGTCACAGGGCTCAAATATGTTTAAAACCTTTAAACAACTTCTCAATAACGAAGAGGCCTAGGATGATGCTATTTGACCAGTAGCATGCTGTAATAATAGAGGGCTACAAAGTTTGTTCAAATGAATGACCTTGACTTATATTCAAGGTCCGGGGTCAAATATGTTAAAAACCTTTAAACAACTTCTTCTGAATAACCAAGAAGCCTAGGATAATGAATTTGGCCAGTAACATGCTGGGATAGAGGGCTACCAAGTTTGTTCAAACAAATGACCTTACTTATATTCAAGGTCACAGGGGTCAAATATGTTTAAAACCTTTAAACAACTTCTGAATAACCAAGAGGCCTTGGATAATGATATTTGGTCAATAATTTGCTGGGATGAAGGGCTACCAAGTTTGTTCAGTTGAATGACCTTGACCCACTTTCAAGGTCACAGGGGTCAAATGTGTTAAACATCACCAAACAACTTCTTCTCAATAACCAAAAGGCCCAGGATACTGATATTGGGCCTGTAGCATCCTGGAATGAAGGGCTACCAAGTTTGTTCAAATGAATGACCTTGATAAACTTTCAAGGTCACAGGGGTCAAATGTGTTAAAAACTTCAAACGACTTCTTCTCAGTAACCAAAAAGCCCAGAATATTGATATTTGGCCTGTAGTATGCATGGATGAAGGGCTACCAAATTTTTCGAGATATATGACATTGACCCTTTTTCAAGGTCACAGGGGTTAAATATATCTAAAATCTTAACAACTCCTCTTCTGAATACCCAAGAGGCATAGGATAATGATATTTTGCCAGTAACATTCTGGGATAAAGGGCTACCAAGTTTGTTCAAACAAATGACCTTTACTTATATTAAAGGTCACAGGGGTCAAATATGTTTAAAACCTTTAAACAACTTCTTCTCAATAACCTAGAGGCCTAGGGTGATGCTATTTGACCAGTAGCATGCTATAATAGAGGGCTACAAAGTTTGTTCAAATGAATGACCTTGACTTGTATTCAAGGTCACAGGGGTCAAATATGTTTAAAATCTTTTTAACAACTTCGTCTGAATAACCAAGAAGCCTAGGATAATGATATTTGGCCAGTAACATGCTGGGATAAAGGGCTACCAAGTTTGTTCAAACAAATGACCTTTACTTATATTCAAGCTCACAGGATCAATAATGTTTTAAACCTTTAAACAACTTCTTCTCAATAACCAAGCGGCCTAGGATGATGCTATGTGACCAGTAGAATGCTGTAATAGAGGGCTACAAAGTTTGTTCATATGAATGACCTTGACTTGTATTCAAGGTCACAGGGGTCAAATATGTTTAAAACCTTTAAACAACTTCTTCTGAATAACCTAGAAGCCTTGGATAATGAATTTGGCCAAATGAAACTTGTTAGCCCTTCATCCTAGTATGTTACTGGCCAAATATCATCCAAGGCCTTTTGGTTATTTAGAAGAAGTTGTTTAAAGGTTTTAAACATATTTGACCCCTGTGACATTGAACATAGATGAAGGTAATTTCGAGCCATCCGTTCTCCCTTGGGGAGGGGGTAAAGTTTACTATAGTTTATATAGGGGAATAACACTTTTGGATATATTTTGACAATTTTCTGTAGGAAATTATTCTTACTTGGTGAGAATCATCCTTGGAGGAAGATGGTTTTCAAATTGTAAAATTGGGATTCCTACCCCAACCCTAGGGGTCAGGTTGGGGCCCCAAAGGGAAAATTTAATTCTATATAACGAATATTTCAAAAACTTCTTTCTCCAGACTCAGAGGTATTACAGTCAATTTCTGTGCATGGATAGAAAGGTCATCAGTGGCTTAATTGAAATTGTAAATTTCAGGACCCCCTGGCCATCCTTTCTCCCTTGGCTAGGGGGTAAATTGTACTATAGTTTATATAAAGAAATAACACTTTTGGGTATATTTTATCCATTTTCAGCAGAAAATTATTCAAACTTGGTCAGAATCATCTTTGGTGGATGAGGGTATTACATGGTAAAATTGGGATTCCTGCTCCATCCCCAGGGGCGGGGCCCCAAACGGAAAATTTATCAATATTTACAAATTCTTATCCTTTGATGACATGACAAGTATTGTATTTCACTTAGTTTGTATGTTGCAACAATGAAATTGAGCTACCAGTATCTATGATATAACTCAGGTCACCACTAAGGCCCTTGTTTCCTATCCTGTCCTAAATGTATTTGTGGTGAGGATACCTCGGAGGAGTAACAATGAAACTAATTAACAAGGTGTCTTAATGTGGGAGGAAACCAGAGTATCTGGGGATAATTTACATTGGGCAGGTGACCCTGTACCTTTTTAGTCAAATCGGGGAATCAAACCCTGGCTGACCCGCCACCCAACCACGGTATTATATAGTTTCAGGGATGTCTGGTACAAAGTACATGTACATTGAGTCTATGAATGGATACTACATGCTTGTGACAGGCATACATATTTCTGGCTATATCTCATCGTTATTCATTCATGATAATAAAATATTCTTTGTAGAACAATCCACAAAAATGTCCATTTGGACTCTACGCAGAGCAGCTGTCCGGCAGTGCTTTTACTTGTCCGAGGGAGACAAACAAACGCAGGTGAGTGATTAAGTGGAACTACCTTGACGCTCAAAATTTTCTTGTCACTGTGGTTAGTGTGTACAAAGTGGAGCATATTATAGGAATATGTTCCCAATTTGATATAAATAATGCTACATTTTCCAAGTTTTCAGTAAAAATAACACTGTTGTCTTATTCCTTTGGCTGGTGAAGCAAAGTAGGGTTTTCCATTTCAGTCAGTCCAAGAAAACTTTGCTGAGTGATAAGGTTCAAATGTAGTTTTTGACACGGGCGATAGCATGTACTGTAGTCATAGGGATCGCTGTTCATACTTGATACAGGTAGTTTGGTTCCCGCAAAAATCTGTGCTTTCAATTGAAACCCCATCTGGTGAGTTACTGAATATCTGGAAACTTTCGATCAGTGAAACATTTGCCCTTCACCGATAAAATCCATACTAGCCCCGTGTTTATATGGCCCTTCACATGGGATTACTATTAGGGCTGCAACGATACATTAACATGACGATACGATACATATCACGATACTCCAATAACAATACGATACTTATCACGATACAATACGTATCACAATACTGTGATCACAATACGATTGCATGATGTGTCGTTGCAGCCCTATTTACTTTACATTGTATATTGGGTGTTAATAATAGTTGATGCCATGATAAATTATGCAGGGCGATAAAGGCTTAAGTTAAACTGTGGTGAAAATTTTCTGGCATACAGTATTTTAAACATTTGATTCCTGTTTCAAGAACCATAACTCTGTTAACCCTGATTTTCGTGGACTGTGAAATTTTAAAAATCACAAGGTAGAACAAGCAATGCATATTCTCTGTTGAGGTTATTAATCAAACAATATGAAATGCATGCGAACAAAAAACAAACAAAAAACAAATATAAAATGTTTGTTTGTTTGCTTGTTTGTTTGTGTTTAACGTCCTAAAAACAGCCGAAAAGCAGTACCTTAGTTTGGCTTTCGCTACTTTGTGGCGGCGAGACAAAAACCCAAATTAATGAGAGTTTATACTATGTACAAAAAAGTCAAGCGGAACTCTTTGGTGTTTTGCCAGTAATGCGACTTGGACCCTTAAACATCTTTGGTTTTGGTTTCTTTGGTTTGTTTGTGTTTTACGTCCTATTAACAGCTATTGTCATTTAAGGACGTGCCAGGTTATGGCTAATGGTGGCAGAATGTCCGACGACTTAACCACTTGGCCACCGAGGCCCCAATATAAAATGTAGCAACTTTTAAATATTTGCATAAAATTTGCCGAGATGAGACCTTTTAAAACAACAACAACACTCAAAAGCTACGCATCAAAATTAATCAATTCGAAAACATTGGCAATATTTTGTATACATTGATACAAATATCAACTAAAATGGAGAAGTATTTACAATATCGGTATTGCTTTTAGTGTGAACATTTTTGCCACGATTGCTTAAGTATCCTTGTAAGTGGTACAGATTTGGGGGGCCTCTTTTGTTTCAATAAAATTAGATAAGGGGGATGGAGTCTGATCACATGCCATTGTGAATAGGGTGGTCAAGTGGCGCAGTGGATAGCACACTTGCCTTTCACCAAGGTGGTCAAGATTCAATTCCCCGATTGGAAGTGAAAAGGTATGGGTCACCTGCCCGACTACATGGGTTTTCTTTGGGTACTCCGGTTTCCTCCAATATTAATATGCGCATGCGCACGCTAACATCCAGGCAAACAAGAGTAATTAATATAAGTTGAAAGAACTTGTTTCATAATTGTTGTAAACAAAATAAAGTTTTATATTTTGTTGTGAATAGGGGACTCAAATGTTGACCAAAAGATAAAGAGGAAAAAGACAAAGAAATACAGTCATATTGTTTGAGTTATTGATAATTTATCAAAAGGATTATGAAATGGTTAATTAAAAAGAAAAATCTATTCTACTCAGTAAATATTACTCGCACTGACTGTTTTTTGTTTGTTTTAAAACCGTCGTTATATAGTTTTCATATTGTACTTCAGCTGGTTATACAGAATACGACCCTCCGTTGTCCACATGCCGTTTGAGCACAGTAAACAAGGATTGATGAATCAAGACTGGAAGGATACCATCCCAAATCCCAATCAGGTTTGCATGAATGGACAATCCCCCCCCCCCCCCAAAAAAAAATATATGCATATGAATATGGAGATTATTAATTTCAAGTGGAAAAAAGCCTTGACTCTTTGCTATCAAAACTTATAATGCTACAAGTTGTGTCACTGATGCAGATAAAAGTCTTCATGGGCTGAACCGTGATCACAAGAACTTTGATACTTCAGGATTCACAATCTGGGCACATGTGCTAGGTTTGTTAAAATGTTTTATCAAAAAATTTGTTAAAAATGATTGACATTAAATCAGTTCTGTCAATTCATAAGAAATATGATCTTGAGTTTTTGAGATGATAATGCACTTTTTTTCTGAAACAGGAATTTTGTTGTCTTTACAGCTTCGATGGCTGCCATTTGACATTCCAAAGAAATCAGCAGAGGCTGTGGACTTTTTGGAGGTAAATTCTGCACATTTTGATATTTATAATCTGACAGGTGCCCCGTTTCACGAGACCAGTCAACAGTTTCACCAAACGAGCAACAGTATACACTTGTTTCATGCCTTATCAGTCAACAGTCAAAACCAATTTCCCTCGGAGTTGGGACCAATGCGGCCCCGGGAAACAGTTCATCTGGTGGGTCCCAACTCCTCGGGAAAATAGTTTTGACTGTTGACTGATAAGGCATGAAACAAGTGTATACTGTTGCTGTGCAAACTCCAGCACAACACAGTCATTCAATGTCTGATGAAATAAGAACAGTTAAACAGTTCAGAAGATGAAAATTAAAAAATCGGGTACATTAGTAATTTAAATTTAGTCTGATGAAATCGGGACAGTTTTACAGTTCAGCAGATGACATTATGTTATGGTTGGAAACAAGAATGATGTGAGATATGTAAGAAAGCAAAAGTTTTTCAGTGATAAGGCTACTAAACAGGTATAACGTGTCTGTGGAGTATATTGTAAAAGGTTCTGGGATCAAATGTTTCCCATGGCTACAGCCTGGTATTTGTCCATGTTTTTTTTCTATTGATAAACAGTGTATCAGGCTTTTTCTTTGTCCATTTGGGGCCTAATTCAGCCCCATTCCCAATGTAAAAGTGTTATTGTTTCTTTTTAAATTTCAACAAGGTAAATGAGTGTTGCATGATGGTTTTTATCATCACACACCAAGCTGATGCATGGAGGATATTTCAGGACCTTTGCCTTATTCACCCAGAAAAAGAACCCGGTTCATCCAGCATCCTTTGTATAGAAGTTTGTTTTGTTCTGTCATTTCATCCTTCTTTCCTGTAGCGTTCTGTCATTTCATACTTTTCTCCTGTAGCATTCCGTCATTTCATCCTTTTTTTTCTGTAGCTTCTTTCATCTGCCATCAGATGCGCAGGGGAGACAGCTGCTGCTGTTCTACCATTACAAGTTACCTCATCATATTTGTTTTACAGGGGACAGCAACTCTGTGTGGGGCAGGCGACCCGTGTGTCAGAAACGGTGCAGCTATCCATATCTACACTTGTAACAGTTCCATGGGTGATAAGTAAGTTAACAGAACATTTCTGCTTTCATTTTCTTACATTTTATATTTATATATATATTTATTCCCCCTGTAATGGAACTCTCTAGTGTTTCTGGCTGCAGTGGGACGGGGATCCTTAAATAAAAGCTTGGTGAGTTAGCCATTGGAATACGCAGAAGATAATTTACCCCATGAAATGAACAACGCTATAAGAACGCCTGTCTTAATGTTGGATAATTTTGGTCTGGTCAAATTAGGGGATTTACAGGGTACTTTTTAGGGACCCATTCCTTATTGAAAAAAGTGTGTGAATATGAAAAATTTAAATAACAAAAGTAAAAAATAAGATAAGTTCGGCACGATTGACAGAGTTCTCACAATACAGCATGTGTAAGAAGGACAAAATGACGATGTTGTCATAAAGACAGGCTTTAGTTAAACAGTCTGGTTGAATGTATTCAGAGTTTTTTTAATGATCATCCAAATTCCCAAAATGGTTCTTACGTTGATGATTTTTTCAGTTTCATCGCAGCGTCTTTTTCCCGAAACCCCATGATAAACGCTTGCCAACACATCGCTAGACAGGTGGAATTATAACAATGAAATAAAAAAGATTATCTTGCATACAAAGTATGAAAACTCATGAGCTCTTTGTGAAATGGTTGTAAAATGATAATTAAATGTCAGGGAAGAAAATGATAAAGAGAACTGAATGTTCTGAATTTAATTTCGTTTACATCCAATCTGATTAAAATCATCTGTTACATCGCTCCGCCTGTTCAGGCATAGTATGAAGTTAACGGAGCCTAACAGATGATTTTAATCAGATTGGTTTACATCTGTTGCCTACCTTTTGATCACGGCTAATAAATTTGGCGTTAAAAAATAGCAACCTTTTAGTCTATAGTGAAATGAAAAATAAAATAAACCAATTTTGTTGGAGATTTTGAAAATTTATATGTATAACGGGTGTGGGTATATACCGTATCTGTCCAGCAATAAGCCAATGTCTAGCAATATGCCCATGTCCAGCAATAAGCCCATGTCCAGCAATAAGCCCATGTCCAGCAATATGCCCATGTCCAGCAATAAGCCCATGTCCAGCAATATGCCCATAGCTGGTAATAAGCCCATATCCAGCAATATGCCCATGTCCAGCAATATGCCCATATCCAGCAATATGCCCATAGCTGGTAATAAGCCCATGTCCAACATTATGCCCATGTCCAGCAATATGCCCATAGCTGGTAATAAGCCCATGTCCAGCAATATGCCCATGTCCAGCAATAAGCCCATGTCCAGCAAAATGCCCATGTCCAGCAATAGGCCGATGTCCAGCAATATGCCCATAGCTGGTAATAAGCCCATGTCCAGCCAGATGCCCATGTCCAGCAATAAGCCCATGTCCAGCAATATGCCCATGTCCAGCAATAAGCCTGTGGCTAGTAAAAAAAGCCCCTGTCCAGCAATAAGCCAATGTCTAGCAATATGCCCATTGCTAGTAATAAGCCCATGTCCAGCAAAATGCCCATGTCTAGCAATAGGCCGATGTCCAGCAATAAGCCTGTGGCTAGTAAAAAAAGCCCATGTCCAGCAATAAGCCCATGGCTGGTTAAATGCCATGTCCAGCAATACGCCCACATGTTCATTTGCAGTTTAGTAGCACTGCCAACGAAAGTTATATCATTGTCTTATAACAAGCCCACCTCTTGTTTTAGTTAGGAGTTCATTTTTTGGCCTCTTGGGATTCTTGCAGGACAAAGACGGTAATATGAAAAAAAATCGCTGAGTTTGTTTTTGAACACAAACAGGAATAGAAAACATATTTTTGCGAGCTTTTGAAAGCGTTTTGTTTCCTTGTGGAAATCACAGTCTTTGCTTGACAAAGGAAAGAGACATTTTAGAATTCCTGTTTGTGTTCAAAACAGTCTGAGCATTTATTATTCATACCAAATTAAGGAATCTTATTGCAAACGGTAATATAAAATATGAAATAATATCAAGTTTTAATGATTTATTTTTTCTGCAGATGTTTCTACGATTCAGATGGAGATCTGCTGATTGGTAATGTAAAAATTCTGTGTGTCTTCCTACTGCATCATAGTGATGGGCATCTCAGTTTAAAACTTGTTATCGATCATTTGTTTCGAAATTGGTTAATAAATTTATGTGACTAAATACCCGAATAAAGTGAAAACACTTCATTTACATCAATAGAATTGCTAATCATACATTAGGTTTTGTTCTTTTGTTATGAATTAATTGCATGCAAATTTTATGCAGTTTTTATTTTTTTCTACATTTTAGTCTTGTCATAAGAATCATAAAAATTAATGACTGTCAATGCATGTTTTACACTGTAAATGTTTGACGCTTAAGTTCAGCAATGAATCGATTATATTAAATATGGAATTTGTAATTGATAATCAGAATCAGAATGGGCAAACCAATTAATTTTATATTATAATTGATCATCAGCGTCAAAGTGAATATTGCATCATTTCATCACTGTTTTGATGCAGCAAAAATTAAAAGAATATTCATGATCAATTTCATCAATAAATAGATAATCAGCTGTTAGAATTTTACAAACAAGCTCATCAATCAACGAACACCGTAAGAAAATCAAAATGCCACTGAGTGACTGTTTTTCCCTTTCCTATTTTCTTTTTTAAAGATAAAAGCTTCCATGTACCACTACCAAAAGCTGTGACTATGCATAAAAATCTTTTTATCCAGCATGACTATAGGTCTGATAAATCATTTCTGAAAAGAAAAGTGAACCTTGCGGAACTAGTATGAAAAATTATGAAAATATGCATAATATTCTTTTTAAATCACTGACAGCGTTTTGAATGTGACAAAATGAAACGGGTCCAGATGATGTAACCTTTGAACCTTAGGTCATTATACTGTCACTCGAACCGACAGAGCATTAATAGCCTGGCCCAGTCGCTATAAAGTTCTTTCCAAATCTTCATTAAGGGGAGGTTACTGTATGTACCAAAAACACTACATAGGAACTCTCTAGTGTTTTGCCTGCAGTGGCACAGGGATCCTTAACCCGTTTTATGCCTCAGTGACAAAAGTTCAAAGTTCGGAGTAATGAAACTTTGCTGGGTAAATAATGTTTTCTTTTATTAACTCTGAATTTTTATGGAAAACTATATCTATAGTATTATTTTTAATGAAGCAACTCACTGATATTGATTTGTATTTTAATTTTCTAATTGTATCATTTTCATTTTTCTATAAATATCTCCTTTATTTGACTCAAGCAAAAACTTTTTTAAACACAAAACTTGTTACTTAAACAGGTTAGCTGGTAAGCTAATTTTATCAGACTTCCTGAAGCTGCTGTATATTTGCTGATATTCACCAGGGTTTTTATTTCGCGAATGCATTAAAATTCGGGAAATCAAAACCCTCGTGAGTATTTTGAGATTGTCGCCATAACATCCGCGCTTCACACGTCCATGATATCTGTTGAGCTGGCGACTAGGTCAAAACATCTTACAAGAAGTACACTATATAAAAAGATAACAGTCTTACACAATAGATAGATCCATCAGTCGAATTATATTGTGGGTCACAATCAAACCATGCATGTTCCAAAATAGACTTACAGACGTGTGATTCGTTAAATTAAATCCCCACAAATAAATTCCAGACACAAAATCGCGAAAAAAGACTATACAGTAAATTTTGGAGCCCCGGTAGCTGACGTTTTCTAATTTTGAATAAGACTTTTTTATCGACTAACAGCAGACAATGGCTGACATCAATAGATTAAGGGGAATTTGCATGATGTATGAAATAAAACAAATAACCTGAAAATGGTGGGGTCAATTGAATTTTGTAAGGATAGTTTTTGATTTGTAAACTAGAACGAAGAACAGAAAAAGCAGTTAAGTTGTATGATAATCTAATACCGTGTGTATTTTATTGATTGCTGTTGTAACTCCATACCTGTTCAATGTAGTTGTTGTTTTTCTTTTACAGTGCCACAACAGGGAGCCTTGTTGATTACAACAGAATTCGGGAAGATAAAAGTGAACCCTAATGAGATTTGTGTCATACAGGTAAATGTGTTTCTTGTTGTGGCAAACACTTTGTTTGTTTATCCATTCTTCGAGAACAATTACGAATCATTCAAAATAAACAAAAATAAGCATATATATTCCTGTGTTTTGGTGGAATACGTGGAAAGGGTGGTCCAGGGAAAAATGAATCAAGGGTGCACACTTTGCTATGCGATAATCATATGTTTCAAAATTTTGCCATTCCATATGTTATCAAACTTATCTTCTTCGTAAAACATGCCTTTATAATATTTATTTCTTTACTATAAACAGTGATTCAGAAGTTTTGGTCTTGACAAGCTTCAAATCGTCAGACAAAATGATAAAACTGATCACTGTTAAAAGCCCATCCCAATGAATCAAAAAACACAACATCATTGTACCTCTTAATAATAATAATAATAATAATAATATACAACATTTGATATAGCTAGCGCCCTATCTAGTTAACATAAGCCACTCTGATTACAGTACATAGATATACAATTAATACAATTAGCATATACATTGATTAATACAATTTTTGAGGAATTTGCAGGAGCTGCCTTATCTGGCGCTAACTACTAGTCCTATGCCACCTGGCTAATATCTCCCTATGTGTGTATGTCTGCGTGTGTGCTGGAGATGTGATGTGTTCTGTTTGTAGTGGGATCGTGCTTCCAACGGCATCATTTATGGTGCCACTTCACTTGACTGCTACAGCACAGTTCCCGCAACATCCACCCCAGACCAATTTATACTCCACCTGGGTTGTAGGAGTTGTGTTGACAGGAGAAAAACAGTTTCTCTGAATATCCATGCATATGACGACTTCGGAGATTGAACCCAAGCCGACTTTGTGGAAGGCCCGAGTGTTTACCACTCGACCAATCCGCCCATACAAGCACACATCTTGTGTGGAGGTGGTAGCTAAGTGGCCTAGTGCCGATACTTAGCACCTGATAAGGAAGCTCCTGCTAGATTCTCAGATTGTATTAATTTTATCAATTGAATGTATTATCTTTGTCGTTTGATTGAAGAATGGCTGATAAAAGCTAGAAAGGTCAGTCAATTGAATGTTGTATAATAATGATTGCTCAGTTATAAAAAAAGTAGATAAGTTTTGAAAAATGTTATGTGTGGAGAAACTTTTTCAGGAAACACCAGGATGTATGACATATGTAAATTATACTCACTTCTGTGTTTGATAAGTTTGTAACATACATTTATCTGGAAAGGTTAGAGGGCCAAGCAGGGGATATTCACTGCAAATATGTAAAGGTCACAAGATATATAAACATATATTGCTTGTCTGTCACAGTAAGAAATTAAGTTTAACGTAGAGGTAGAGGGGCCCAGCAAGGGATTTTTACTGCAAATATTTAATGGTCACAGGATATATAAACAGAAATTGCTTGTCTGTCACTTTTAGGGATGAAGTTTAACGTGGAGGTCGAGGGGCCCAGTAAGGGATATTTACTGCAAATATATAATGGTCACAAGATATATAAACATAAATTGCTTGTCTGTCACTTTTAGGGATGAAGTTTAACGTGGAGGTAGAGGGGCCAGCAAGGGACATTTACTGCAAATATTTAATGATCACATTATATAAACACCAACTGCTTTTCTATTACAGTTAGGGATGCGGTTTAACGTGGAGGTCGAGGGGCCCAGCAGGGGATATATCCTGGAAGTTTTCAATGGTCACTTTACACTTCCTAACCTTGGACCCATAGGTGAGTGTTTCCTTAAGGATCCTCGAGCCACTGCAAAACAGTTGTAGCTAGCCATCGGAAATTGTATTTTCTGCTATGACTATAGCATTGATTAGTCATTTCGGAATTGAAAATAATAGCTTGTTGCCCTTTTATGAGAAATATTAAAGATGAAATAAACAAAAAGAAATTAGCAACACTGTTCTGAGTGTAAAAATACATTTGGGCTAAACCAGGATTGAACTCTGGACCGCCGTTTATAATACTGTTGTTTTAACCAATTGAGCTACCAGCTGGTTTAACGGTTGAATGCAAGCCTGGTCGCACTACAGTAAATTGTATACTAATGTTTGTCTATAGGTGCCAATGGCCTCGCTAATCCGCGGGACTTCCAGACTCCGTTCGCATGGTATGAGGATCGGGATGTTGCAAAGTACACAGTCATGAGTAAATTTCAAGGTCATCTTTTTAAATCTATTCAGGTTAGCAGCATGCAGGGTTTCCATATGTGCCTCCTTTCCAGCTCCTCAGAACTTAAAAATTGTGAATATTTAAATACCTATTTTCTTTTTTAATATGACACCAAATCCCATGGGCAAAAAAAAATGTTTTCTTTAATTACTTGTGATTTTTTGATCATAAACAAAATTACATGATATTAAATGATTATCACATCATATCAAGTGATATTAACAGATGATTCATTATGTAGAACTAGATTGTGTAGCAAGGAGAACAGTGTTTCGAGTAAAACATGATATTAACCAGAATGTGACATTAAACAATGTGACATTAAGTGGAATCTACTGTAAATGGAATGTTGTATTTTAATTGTTATCTTATCATGGCTTTATGTCCGTGGCACTCATATTTGAGAAGTAGGTTATCATGATTTCGTTTTTTGTTTCAGACACATTCCCCATTTGATGTTGTTGCTTGGCATGGTAACTACGCCCCGTACAAGTATGATCTTGCCAACTTTTGTACCGTAAACACAGTTTCCTTCGACCACATAGTAAGTACTGTCGGACATAAATGCTTATCAGTGTACTAACGAGCCACACAGATGTCACAAGTGTGGCGTAGTTATCATAGAGTAATCAAATACAGTTATTGACTTAAAGCTGACAGTTCAAGTTAAAAAGCTTTCAATTGAGATTAAAAATAAAATGTGGTCCCTCTTCCGGCTATCATTTCTAAGGAAGTGCCGAAAAATCTGAATCAAAAGCTATTGAACTTGCACTGACAGCTTTAAGGTGAAGTCTATGGCTACATTCGCATATCCGGTTGAAACGGTTGAACCGGTTGAACCTGTAACGAAAGCGACAGGTACAGATTTGGACGGAGGCTGACCTCATGAAAATTTGGTGCGTGTAGATTGAGAGATTGAGGGGTCCAGACGTACCTGACCGAAACTAAAATGCTGACTATTGCCAATTTGCGTTATTTCTTTCTTAAACTATGTCAAGTCAGATGTAATTTTTAAGATACATTATGTAATTTAGTGGACGCGTGAGAGAAGGGCATATTATTCTTGATACATTGTTTTTTATTCTCCGAAACTGTGGATTTTTAGCTCTGCTTATAGAACGGTCCACGTGCATTTGTTTATCGTGGAAAATTTCTGCGCCACACGTGCCGTTTTAACCGAGATACGCGAATGTAGCCCAAGTATTCATGGTTTATGGACCAGAGCTGGTATGTCCAGTAATATTCGAAGCCAAATGCCAAAGTGGTAACAAGGTTAGTAAATCAAGAACAGGCCTCACCTGAAGTCCATAACTGTTTTATTTTATTCATTAACCTGCCCACCCCTGACCACAATTAATTTTTGAACCACACTTGATTAAAGGATTGTGTATAGTCCATTTTAATCTGTTAGGCTTATTTCTTTTCCTAGTCTGAAGTCTGTAAACGGGTCAAACATGTCACATGGTCCAAGCTGAGTTACGAAATCACAGCTGGTATATTTTATTTTTAGAAAGGGGTCATGATGCTGTTCCTCCAGTCATAGTTGGGAATTAGTTACAGGTTAAATGTCATAATTATTCATTATTGACTTGTAGCGAGGTCAATTAGATATTTTACCATAACCTCCTAATTGTTTTCATGACTTCATAACTTGGTCTTAAAATTATTTTCATAAATATTATTTATTTTCGAGCTCGGAGAAGTATGACTTCTCTGCCTCTTACTTTATTTTTATATTTGAAATAGAATAGCAAAGCAAAATTTGAAATTCCTTTAGGCAACTATCACCATCAAGCTGATAGGTTGTGTAAGATATGCCAGTTTTTCCAAGCGCGTTCATTACTAAATATTTACCATCATATGGCATTGCCACTATATAACCCTACCAAATTCAGTTGACATTCATAAAGGCTATGAATGCCATGCACCTATTGTTGACATCATCATTACTAGGACATCATAATTGTTAGGATGGATATCACTGACCCTCCCTGAGCGATGGCTGTTCTTTTTTTATTGATCAAGCATGCACGATACATACATTATTTGAACTAAATGCTGAATAATAATAAGTAATTCAATTTTCTATGAGATGAACACTGGTTTAAAAAAACATTGGTGAAGTGTTGTGTTTTATGGAGGCCAGGAAGTCTTCTGGTTGGATGCCGGGCTCGTGACCGAAAGGTTGCGGGATCGAGTCATGGCACGGCATTGTGTTGTATCTTTGAGCAAGATACTTCATCCGCTTGTTCCAATCTTCTCAGCTGTAAATGAGTATGTGGTTGGGCAGTGCTAGAATTGTAGAATGCTAGCTGTGAGCGCCAAAAAGGCAGCACCATCTGTATGCTCCCCATTGAGTTGAGAAAGATATTGGCTGGTTGCAAAGGCCCTATAACCACAGATAATAATTTATGAACCGCTTTGAGACAAGCTACGAACTAGGTTGTGATAAAGCGGTATATAAGAACCTCAAATTATTATGGAACTAAAATAAATTTGTTGGGTTTCAGGACCCGTCAGTCTTTACTGTGTTGACATGTCAATCAACTAAGCCAGGCGTTGCTGTGGCCGACTTTGTCATATTCCCACCGAGATGGGGAGTGGCTGACCACACATTCCGACCCCCGTACTACCATAGTAAGTACACAAGATACCTTAAAAGTCATTAATGAAGATAAAATTAAGTTCTTCATAATGAAAGTAGCATAGACAAAATATTCACAGCGCTTTAATCTAAGAAATATTAATTTTACAGAGCAAAAATTGACATGTAATGAGAAATACAGTGTAGAAACCAAATTTTAAAGGTGAAGTGTAAAATAAATGGGATAAATTGTTGTTTAAAGGTTTTAAGGACATATAATAACTAATTACTAATATTTGTATCTTTCACAGGGAACTGTATGAGTGAGTTTATGGGTTTGATACATGGATCCTACGAGGCGAAGGTAAATATTACGTCATTATCAAATCCGCCGCAGAGAAGTTAGAGAGGAATTGTAAACAAACTGACTCAGCCGAATTTCATGAAACTTCATCAATGACGTCAACACATTTTGGAATTATGTATCTGTGATTAATATTTTGATCCGCCTTATTTCTATGCAACCATGAAGACAGGTACATTTTAGGGGGGGTAACAGTGACCTTGACCTTGGCAAACTTCACCCAACAATCATTAGGGTTCTTCCTCTTCTCTTTGGTAATCTGCATTCCAAGTGCAATGATTGTTCTGAAGTTTGCATCCAAATAAGAATTGTAAACAAACTGACAGACAAACATCCCGTATGATTGGTATATCCCCCTTAAGGTTTTTGTCGGGAAATAACATATAACTTTTGAGATTAAAGATTAAAGCACAATTTTTATTAGGGTTGTCAATGGTTAGCAGGTTAACTGGTGAAATGGGTCGAAAGACCACAAACGGCTATAACGAAATAAATAACCGAATAGTCGGACATTTATATACCCCCTTGCCTTGGGGAGCCCCATGTTTCCCTGGCTTAGACCTACAAGTTTCATACATTTGTAATAGGACGAGGAATAGTGATAAAGATAGTGCCGTCACTGGGGGTCGAACCCGCGACTATTGGCTCTCCAGCCTGATGCCCTACTGCTGAGCTAAAGGGAAATTCCCTACAGCTGACGCTTGTATGGCAACCTAATTAATCCACATCTTTTACACTATTCCCCCCTTTTTTCAAACACCAACCCAGGTTCTTTGACTCCCACGACAAGGGTTCTTCTACCTTGAACAGGGAGGGTCAACGGCACCAATTTGTAATAGGACGAGGAATAGTGATAAAGATAGTGCCGTCCCTGGGGGTCGAACCCGCGACTATTGGCTCTCCAGCCTGATGCCCTACTGCTGAGCTAAAGGGAAATTCCCTACAGCTGACGCCTGTAAGGCAACCTAATTAATGCACTTCTTTTACACATTAATGACACCAATAACGGAAGTTTTGTAATAAAAACAGTGTACAGCTGGCTGACATGTTAGTGTTGTTTTTGTACTCTATTGTAAATATTGACAAAGAGATGCCGACAACACCATAAAAAATATGAACAGATTTTAAAAGGAAGCCAGAATACAAAGTTGTGTAATGTTCAACTTCAGGAGGTAAAATGCACTTTTATATGTACACACTTGAATGAGCAAGCATGTTTTAAAACGTTCGTCGGTTTGATTTTGTTTTTAAGAACAATATCACTGCATACAATTTTGAGTACAGATAATTGTAATTTAATCCTGCCTTACTGTATATTCCAACATTTGTTGTCCATGAAATATACTTTACTGAGGATAAAATATTTCTTGTGTATAGTTTGAAATATACGAGTAAACGATCCTGCTTATTGATTTATACATGTATGTTTGTGGTGTAAATAAGTTTTAACATATAATGTTGTTGTTTATTGTTTGATTACCAAATTGACAGAATAACCGTAACCATTTACCCGATCGGAAGATTGTTTGAGTAACTGGTTTCCAAAAACCCTAATTTTTATATTTGTTTAGGAGAAAGGATTTCAACCTGGGGGCGGGAGTCTTCACAGCATGATGACTCCACATGGTCCAGACGCAAAATGCTTCGAAGACTGCTCCAACGCTCCACTGAAACCCCAGCGTGTGGCCGAGGGTACCATGGTCAGTAGGATTCGTGACGTTCTTTGTGGAACATTTAAAACTTATAGAATACTGTTCTACACTTATGGGGACATATCGTTAAATGACCACAGCTGTTAATAGGATGGTAAACCCCATACACAACATATATCAACACTGTTACTGTATATTGGTGAAATATGACGAGATAGTTGAGCTCCATGAATACAGAAACCACTTGACAGGTTGTTTGGAAAGCTTTTCTTTCTTTTTTCATAAAAATGTCCCTATACATCAACCGTTTCATTAATGTTTTAGCCACTTTAGCTTGGAAAAGAGGAATTTTTATTGATCCACGGCAATGTTTTTTGTGTCGCCTACAAAGCGAGGCGATATATAGGTATTTCTTTGTCAGCGCCGTCGTCGTCGGTTGCGTCGTCCGAAACAAGGTTTCCATGCGATAACATGAGTTCCCTTGGGTTGATTCAGTGTAAACTTGGTACACATATTGCATACCAATATATCTCGGACGAGTTCACATTTTAGAAGTTTATCTACATTTTTGGTGGAGTTATGCCCCTTTTATTGCCAAATAAGGGCATTGTGTAGTAAATGCAAGAACTTTTTTTATTTTTTAATCAACTTTGTACGGTAATGCTAGGAACAATAATGTTCAACATTTATTTCAAGTTTTTCTGTCGAGTTATAACTTTTCTTACTAAAAGTGCTGAGCAGGCGACACATCCACTCCCATGGAATTCTTGTTAGCTAACCTGACCAGGAGGGACAAGAGAGCTTATGCCATGACACAGCATCTGTAATATTTTTCTTTAAAAGTCCTTAATTGCTCAGTGGATTTTGACCAAATTTGGTTCTGGAGCCTCATTGGTCGAAAGGTTCTCAATTTTGTATAAATGGAGGGTATAGCCCTGCTGAGGGCAGAGGGGCAGAGCTAAATAGGGGGGAAAGAGGTAAATCTTCAAAATCTTCTCATTCAATGAAATAATGAGCATCTTTGGATAAAGGGGTCGCAATTTTGTAAATGGAGGATGTGGCCCCTTTAAGGGCAGATGGCTGTGGCCCAATAGGGGAAATGTTTCTCCTGCTGTACAAATGAAGGGATTTAAACCAAATGTGCAATCTGCGCTGGACCATCTTTGGACAAAGGGGTTTCAATTTTATATAAAAGAAGGATGTGGCCCCCTAGAGGCAGAGGGGTATGTGGGGGCCAATCGGGGAAATACTGGAAAACGTCTCTCCTTCTGTGCAAATGAAGGGATTTAAACCAAATGTAGTCTGCAGTATCCTTTGGGTAAAAAGACTCAATTTTGTAAAACTGAGGCCTATGCTCCCTCCTTTCCGGCAAATGGATGAGGCCCAATTAGGGAAATAGAGGGAAAAAATTAACATCCTTTTACTTTTTGTACTGGTGAAGGAAAATGATCCAAAAATATTCAAGAGCATCTTTGGGCAAAGGGAATTCAACTTTATATAATCGGAGGATGTGGCCCCCCCCCAGGGAAGAAGGATGGGGCCCAATAGGGGAAATAGAGGAAACTTAATATTTCTCCTTACAAACGAAGGGATTTAAACCAAATGTGGCCTGAAGCATGCTTTTGCTAAGCGCAATTACAATTTATAGAAGTCTTTAAAACTTTATACAACTTCTTCATAATAAAAGCCAGTTCAGGTTATGAAGGAGTTTCCTAAGATGTTACATGCATCTCCTTCAAATATATTTACAGTGCTTTGATAGAAAGATGTTTGCATGAATCCAGCCAACCATTAGTGATAAAGGAGTGGTGACTTGGAAAATAATTGAGTCAGTGTGCTGTTTTCCTGTTTCAGGCGTTTATGTTCGAGTTGTCGTTTAGTATGACGGTGACAGACTGGGGCAACAAGACTAAAGTGGACAACACATACTACAAGTGCTGGCAGCCGCTACAGAAACACTTCTCACCGCCAAAGACTGACCCTACTGGTGGGTTTAATTCTAGGTCATGATAGCGGCCTCATGAGATTGGATACTGTTTCTGATTCATAAATCTTTAACTTTTGCATCCATTTTATTCAGAGGTTTCGTCTTGATTTTAGAATGCTTCTTGTTGTTATAGAGGCAAAATGCAGAGTAAGAAATGCTCATGTCTCTAGCTGTTTTCTAGGAGAGTAAAGCTAGGTTATAAATGTAGACTTGATACTATGATTTGTGCAGAAATATGTGTGACACAGATTGTACATGTAGCAGAACTGGACTCGGGGTCGATCGCCGGCGACCAGGTAGCTCAGTTGGTTAGAGCGTCCATCTAGAGTTCGGAGGGTCCTCATGGGTTTGAACCCCGGCCTGGCCCTGCGTTTTACCTCTCCTGTTACACTCATATTACTATGGTGTTATAATCGAGGTTATATGGTTATTAACCCTACATGCTAAATGCATTGTTGACGTGACGTCGTTCATGCATTGTTGACGTGACGTCGTCGTACAATTGTTATGAATCGGGGAATCTCCACTTGTCAAACCCTAGGGCAAGACACCTGTCCAGGGTAAGGGAAAGAGTTATCCAACATGGATGTTCATATATATATAGGGCATGTTATGTTGTTTATGTATATGTAGAGGTGGAGAAATAATTGAAATATCAGGTTACCAACTTCGCTTTTACATGTACATTTTTGTATTAGAGATTTCCTTTGCGATATGTACTACGTGACGTGTACAGTGCTGCTTACCGTAATTATCCAGCAATAAGCCCATGCTTGGTAATAAGCCCACCAGCATATATTGTAGTCTTTTTCAATGGCATCTAATGAGCCATTCCCCTACTTTGAGTTAGAGATTATATGCGGGCCCCACCGGCTTATTTCAGGATGAATACGGTAATCTTTTTGGAAGATATACAACAGAATGTATTATTATGAATATCATTTCTGTTCAATTAAGTTTAATTTGAATTTTTCTATCAATTTGTGAAATAAAACTTGATTCACTTTGCTTTATTCTATAGCATGACCTTTTTTTATAATTTTGTTCATTTTTGTTTCTTGCAGATGGACCCAGCAAAGTGAAAAAGGCAAAAAAATGACCAGTTTTATTTTTGCAATCTAGTTTTAAAAGAAAGAGTATTAATGCTTTATACTACCGGTACAGTTTTTGGCAGAACATGTATCACGCATTGAGGGTTAGCTGTTCTTTTACAATTCATATTCAGAGTCTATTTGTTCAGACATTATTTTATATTTTTATCCACTTGTACTTGTTGTCATCGTTACAACAGCCTTACACTGCACATCAAGACTTGGACACTTAAAATTCTCCTGCTTATAAATAACAATTTCAATGACAGAAAGTTTTTTCCAACATATATTTTATCACTGTTATGGACGGAGCAGCACAGAGGGTTTTAATGTTGGAGGAAACAGGACCCATAGAAAACCCGCATCATTGGGCGGGCGACCCAAAACCTTTACATATCCTGATCGGGGAATCGAACCCCAGCCATCTTGTTTAAGACGCGTGCACTGTCTACAGAGGCACCAACCATCCAGAAACTACATGGGACTTGAATCTACATATTATCCCTTAAAATTTCATTTCACAGTGATGTACCATTGAAGAATTTGTTCAGTATTACATTGTCCATGGGTGAATTACGATTTAAAATAAAGATTTTGTGATGACGAAGCCAACAATGAATAAAGACAAGAATCAGTGCTGGAGTTGGTACATTTTAAGAAGCTACACATGTGTAAGGTTGGTTCAACGCCCCACGCCGTTTTCGACTCTTTGAATTCTTGTTTAAAATTTACCAACCTGTCACAAGCTGATCTTCATTCCATCACATGAGCCAACATGTCCCTGGAATGTGTGTTCCTGTTACGGTGCATTCCTTGTGCCGTAAAGAGTTACCTCCCTGTAATCTGGTCACTTATTTGTCCATACCTAGTCTTGTGCCGTAAAGAGTTGCCTCCCTGTAATTTGGTCACTTATTTGTCCATTCCTAGTCTTGTCACAGTCATTGGACTTTGAGATTTGTTATATCACATGTCATGTGCTTGAATCTCCGAGTGTTTTGATTGCATATTTTCAATGTATATTGTGTTTAAAATTTAATTATAGATTTTATCTCAATATTTGAAGGTACATTTTTTTCTTATATATTTTTTTTTTTTTTTTTTTACATGCTTCAATCATTTACATATGTTGTAAATTATATTGTCCATTTCAAAGCGTCTGTCATCTTCCTTGGCATTCTGGTTTCGGCTGTTGTTAATACTAATGTAATGGGTTGTGTATAAGTGCTTCTTTGTCCAAAGTAATGCATGTTCATTGTGTTGGTAAATCAACAGGAAATGCTTATCTTATCCAGTTTGACTCGCATAAAATAAAATGGACATTTTGTGTTTTAAATAACGAAAACATCTACTGCAGGTTTATAAATAATTGTATTGACCTCAGTAAAAGTTATTAATTGGTTTTTAAAGGAGGACATTTTTTTCCTCAATTTAGCTAATACATATTGTCAATACTGTTATTGTTAAAACAGCTACATTAGATGTTTTTATATTTGACGCAGGTCGATATAATTAAATGTATCTTTACGAATTTTAGCATTAAATGCAGAAATGTTTATCCACAATCAGTAATTAAATTTAAGATCTTTATGAGAATGTGTATGTGGTTGATATTGGTTTGTTAAATCACCTGTCCGTCAGTCATCATCCTTTCCTTTAAACGACTTCTTCTAAAGAACCAAAAGAGGCCTACACCCATGACATTGGCTTTTATAGCTCTCTGGGGAAGTTTTGAAACAAAAAAGACCTTTACCCACTTTCAAGGTCACAGAGGTCAAATGCATCAAAAAACGTTTTAATCAACTTCTGAAGATCTGGAAGGTCTACAACAAAGTTGTTTGACAAAATGACCTTGTCCAACTTTCAAGGTCACTGTGGCAAAAGGTGTCAAAAACTTAAATGATTTCTTTTGATATTTCGCTGGTAGATCAAAATTAGCATGGACTTACTTTCAAGGTCAGAGGTCAAATATGTCAAAAAAACTTTAAAGGAATTCTGAAGAAGTGAAGGCCTAGAATCATGATATTTAGCAATACGCTTCCTGGGTTGAAGCCTTACAAAGTCTGTGAACAAAAATGACTTTGACCTACTTTCAATGTCACAGGAGGCAAATATATGCCTTCTTCTGAAGAGTTCTGACACTGGCTTAAAGTTTCCTGAGATTCAGCCCAATAAACTTGGCAAAATGATTGTTAAAAATGACCTTGACCTACTCCCTAGGTCATAACATGGAAATGTTTTACATATCCTCTATAAAACCATATACAATGGCTAGACTTGCAGAGATAATTTCATTCATGCTACAGGATTGGCTCAGGGATCAATGTTTATTAGTCCCCCACCTGGAACCGGGGGGACTATAGTTTTGCGTTGTGTCCATCCGTCCTAACGCTATCTTGTCCTTGGTGAGGCGGTGTGTCATGTATCAAAAGTAGGTCACTCTGACCTACAATTTGACCTTTGACCTACATCAAAGAAAATGTTTGTCTGGGCTCTATCTCTACTAGTCACTGGAACTTTATACTTGGAGTATTGGTTCATCTTGGTGAGGCGGTATGTCGTATATCAAAGTAGGTCACTCTGTTTTTGATCAGGTCACTGACACTATTCCTTATTGAATACGGTGGGTCTGTCAAACATTCATATATAGAATCAGTTCCTGCACAAGTTTATCATTCATGCATTTCACATTCGGTGGGGGACTATAATTCACCGAATTGTCTTGTTCCAGAATGAATGTGTGCTTGTTATATGATTACCATGAAGCTCTGAATTGATTTATTTTTGTGTTAAAGATACTGTAGATATAAATAAACTTTGCTTCCAGGATATCACCTTGTGATTTTTTTTTCTCAATTTTTGTCTGGAAAAAAAACAGAATTACTACCCATTCTTTTCATGGATGATGATTAGTACAGAATCTAACATACTGCATGGCCCTCTCTCCAGTGAATGTCAGGGTGTATAATGCCATTGACTTTGTATTAACTCTATATTCACAATCAAACCCTTTTTAGCCCACCATCATCTGATGGTGGGCTATTAAAATCACCCTGCGTCCGTGGTCTGTCCGTACGTTGTCTGTCGTCTGTCATCCGTCGTCCGTCCTTAAACAATTCTTATTATTGGTATTTCTCATGAAGTACCAGAGGGATCTTTCTCAAATTTTATATGTAGGTTCCCCTTGGTCCTCAGCTGTGCAGGACAACTTTTGGGACTGATCGGATAACAACATGGCTGACAGGCTGCCATCTTGGATTTTGACATTGAAGGTTTGTTATCATAATTTCTCGGGAAGTACTGGAGATATCGATCCATCTCAAATTTTATATGTAGATTTCCCTTGGTCTGTAGTTGTGCGTGTTAAATTTTGAGACTGATCGGATGTAGAAAATGGCCAACAGGCCACCATCTTGAATTGTGACATTGTTTTAGCTATTTATCAGGAAGTACTGGTGATCTTTCTCACATCTTATATGTAGGTTCCCCTAGGTCCTTACTTGTGTATATAAACTTTTGAGACTGATCAGATAAACAAAATAGCAGACAGGCAGACATCTTGGATTTGACAGTGAAGGTTTGTTATGGCTATTACTCGGGGAAATACTGGTGAGATCTTTCTTAAATTATTTATTTAAGTTCCCCTTGGTATGAAGTTATGCATATTTTCTTATGAGACTGATTGAATAAACAAATCTTTGATTTTGACAGTTTGTCAGTGTTATTTCCCAGGAAGTACTGGAGGGTTCTTTCTCAAATTCTATATACAGGTTCCCCACTATCCTTTATTGTTCATGTTTACTTTTGAATCTGATTAGTTAAACAAAATCGCCTATCGACGGCCATCTTCGATTTTTGACATTGAAGGTTTGTTAGTACTACCTCTTAGGAATAACTTGAGGGATCTTTCTCAAATTTGATATGTAGGTTCCCCTTGATCCCTCGTTGTGCATGTTATATTTTGAAACTGATCATAAAAACAAAATGGCTAAAGGAAGAACTAATCAGATCTTTCTCATATTGCAATGATCAATTCTATTTCTTTCACATTACCGGTAAGTACTGTACTAGTAAATACCCAATAAGTGAAATGCCAACTCACTATGAAGGTTGGTTTTCATACACATCAGTATTAAGTTTAGATCAAAAGTTACCTGAAGGTGCATTTACTGTTAACATGACTCGATCAAACAGATTAGAGGAAAGAAGAGAAAATATTGAACTGACAAAGAACTAATGAAGATGGTACAATGGTGGGCGCCAAGATTCCTCTGGGATCTCTTGCTATTCATTACCAGCTGAAGTGCCAGGACCACTGGGACATTTTAATAGAAACAAAATGGTTCCTCCTGTCAAAATATTGTTCATAAACAACTATTAACTAGCGATGGCTAGATTATCGAGGCCCCGCCATGCAAGCTAATATAAATGTCAACAATATGTCGCAAAACTAAAGAAAAAACCCAATTAATTACAGATATAGAAATTTATTAAAAAAATGAATCGGTTAAGCTTCACAGTAAAAAATTTGAATTGCATTCAGTCCATCCACCTTGCCATTCTATGTAAAACCTTGAAAGTCATTTGCAAGTCCAGTCAAAGTCCAATGGAACCCCAGTCCAGCCCAGTAAATATTGGAACCATCAGGTGGACTTTGTGTTGATGATGAATTAATCATCTGTTATGTCTTACTGACCAAAACTTGACCATTCAGTATATTTTGATTTCATCCATCTGGTCCAACTGTTTCTGAAATGCTTCTGTCAACATCTGTACTACTCCAAGTCCTTCACTAAAGACTTTGAGAAGGGAGCTTTCCACACCTTGAGACATACAACTGTATATCTGGGCGAAGTTTGGTCAAGGGAGACGACCCTTATCCTTCTCATTTCATCGTTGTCTACCAGAACATCCAGTGCATCGCCGCTCTTGACCTGCGATAGAACATTGAAACAAAAATTAACAATAAGATATCCCAGTGGGATCTTGGTGCCTACCATCATCAAGATCTTCATTAGTTCTATGTAAGTTTGATCTTTTCCCTTCATTTCTCTTCTTTATTCTTATCTGTTGCATTGATAGCCTTGTCAACAATAAATATATCTTGTGGTAATTTTTGATCAAAAATTCTGTAATGCTAGGTTTGAGAGTGTCATTTCAAAGTGAAGTCATTGATCATTATAAACTTCTTGAGTAATAGCAATAACAAACTAGAACAGCCATCTTGTTTTTCCAGACAGTCTCGAGATGAAATTTGCACAACTTTTTTAAAGGACCAATTAAGTGGACCATGTTTATAAAACTTGAGATAGATGCTGAAAAATAGTGGTAAAAAGCTTAAATTGTCACATTACAAGATGGCTGCTGAACACTTACAAGGAAAGAGCCACCTAATGCAGCATAATCTTCTTAAAATTTAACATCTACTAAGTTGGAAATGGGTTAACATATTTCCCGTCCCTCTGACTGTCTGGGTTATTAGAGTGTTATTTTATGAAATTTTTCTATACTTTTGACGACTGAATTTACTGACTTGTCATATTTTGGCTTAGTGAGTTGTACTGAGCAGCTTAAAGTCGAGACACTGGTCATTTGTACTCTTTGCTTGACAAAGGAACAGACATTTTTGCTTTTGTTCAATACAAACTTAGCATTTATTATTCATACTAAACTGATGGATCAACATGAGGGGCAAGTTAAAACACATAAACACATGATGATTGTATACAAATGTAACAAGTCAAACACCACTCTCTAAAGTTATTACAACCAGGAACAAAAGTGACATGATGAAAGTTGAGGTGCGTTACCTAAACCAGATTAGATGACATGATGGCTGATCGTAATTTACGACCCCCCTCACACCCAAAATCAGAAATATTATACTGTCGTATTATTTTATTGGGAAACGTCAGCAAATCAGACTACATGAGGAGAAAGTAAGATAAGATAACATCCTCGCCTAGATTATCCTTTTTATATCAAACCTGTATTAGGAGACCACCAATGGGAATTAGTCCAAAAAGTGATCTCTTAACACTGATGGTCTCTTAACTCAGGTGGTCCCTTTACTCAGGTGATCCCTTAACACATGTGGTCTTTTAATACAGGTAATCTCTAAACACAGGTGGCATCTTAATACATGCAGTCTCTTAATACAGGTGGTCTTTTAATACAGGTGGTCTCTTAACACAGGTATTCTTTTAATACAGGCAGTCTCTAAACACAGGTGGTCTCTTAATACAGGTGGTCTCTAAACATAGGTGGTCTCTTAATACAGGTAGTCTCTAAATACAGGTGGTCTTTTAATACAGGTTCAGTTCACAAAGAATTTGCCACAATGGGAAACATTATAAGTGTCCTCTTAACCCATGTGGTCTCTTGGAAATCATGGTTGTATAAACAGATTGGACTGTATTATGTATGAGTAAATAATTGTTAAACTATATGTGACTTACGATTGTCCTTTTCAGTTTTAAAGGGAGACCATTTAGTTTACATTTCTGTTCAGAGAGATCATTCAGGAATTTCCTGCAAAGAAATAAACAAATATACGTCAGATTTTCATTTTCCTGTTACATTCCCTGTACATATAATTATGTTGTGACTTTCCAAGTGTCTGTCCTAACATTCAATAAGTGAAAAATTCCTTCCACCAGTATAATTGTTCAAAGGTTCCTTAATCTTAACAAAATGTGATTCTGTTTCAAATCCCTGCTTTCAGGTGTGTATAATTTCTTATTTGAAGCAAAACTAAACATTTAAGAACAGAATAAAAACATCAATTTTTCAGATCGTCCGTTAGGCCTTTCTGCCTTCTAGGGCTTCTTCAGGCAGATTCTTAACAAAATGTGATGTACTGTATAATGTACAGACCCATATAAGGAGGGGGAGGGGGGAAACTCACAGTAGTTTCTGATTTGTTTTTCATCATTGAATTTTTATCGATAAACTGATTGGGAATTTCAATTCGGTGAAGAAGAATGCCCATATTGTATGAAGACAATGATTAAGAAAATTTATTTATATATACATGATTTATGTACTGTATGAATAAAAAACATACTTGCTGGATATTCGGAAACCAAATCTGCACATTGAGTCATATCTTGGTTGTGATAAATTCCCCTTCAACATCTTATAATTTGATGACAACTTTGCATCTCCCGTGAAATCAACATCCGGGAATGGCTTCAAAAGAAAAAATTATAAAAGTGTTCTGAACCCTTTAACATATTTTTCAATTTTCAATCAGACCTGCAATGGCAAAAATATAGGAAAAAATAATTACAAGATTTTAAATATTTTGTATATCCCTTCTTGGATCCCACTTCTCTGTAAGAAGCATTTTCAAATGGTGGAGATTAATAAAAAACAAAAGGAAAAATAAATGGAGGGGCTGAACCCTAGGGGTTGAGGGGTGGGGCCAAAAGGTGTAATTTGGCCATATTGCTTTAAGCCACTTTTTCTTTGGAAATAAGTGATGGACATCAACCATATTTGAATGGAGGCATTATCAGATGGTGGGGATTCGAGAAAAAACAAATGGAGGACCTGGCCCC